CGGCCTAAGGCAGAAGGGATGGGTAGACCGTTTGCCCACAGATGTAAATAGCAGATCGCAGTGAGAGAGATCTTCTCCTTCTCTCTTTAGCAATTCAACAGCGTTACCAGCTTACCAAATCCTTCGTGGTTTGGGCCCTTGACAGGCCAGGCCTAATCAGGACTCTTCAGTCTTCTCCTATGTATGCCTTGAGGAACTCAAGGTTTATGCCGCCCTTTTGCCTGGAGGAACGAAGTGACGGAAGGTTTCTTGCCTGGAGGAACGAAGTTCCGTAAGGTCTTTGTTGCCGCGCGAGGGGCAGAAAAAATTCCCAACCCAAACTTAAATCACATGATTTTCACGTGCGCGTTTTGTAAACTTCGTATTTAACCCCCGCTTCCGGCCAATTTGTTTCCGGTCTACCCGCTTCCGGCCTAGATTTGCCCAGCCTCCTTTTACGATTGGTTCCTGCCTCCGCCGCCCAAAAAAACAATAAATTTCAAGGATATGATACACCCACGCAACCCCAACCTTCGACCCGATCGGTTGTGGACACCAAACTTCTCCCCTCAAAGCTTAAATCACATGATTTTCACGTGAGTTTTCACGTGCCTTGCTCCACCGCCGATCCGACCTTCATCATCCAAATCCATCACGGCATCACCATAACTACACGCTACAGACACTCGGCGTCGTCCACTCAGCGTTCACGGACGTCGCCTGATTCTGACCCCGCGCCTGACTGGGTCCGATCATTGAGACTGACTGATAATCGAGACTGACTCTGATGATCGAGACTGGCTCTGATGATCGAGACTGACTCTGATGATCGAGACTGACTGTGATGATCGAGACTGACTCTGATGGTCGAGACTGACTCCGATCGTCGAGACTGACTCCGATCATAAAGACTCGAGAAAAAGAGGAGAGATGCGAGGAAAAAAAAAAGCAAAGTCTCCCCATCGTTAAAGCGATCAATGTCATAAAGGGTCGGTTTTCTTTGCGTCGCAGTTTTCGAAGTCGTTCGCTCTATTTACGCTCCGCTAGCCAATTTATTTGGTACATTTGGGCCACATTTGCTTCCCCTTAGCGTGCCGTCTGTCTCTCCTCTGATGACCAGTCCCAACGTTCCGCGTCTCGAATCGTCGCCTCGCTCAGCTGTTCCAGCCTTTTCTCGGCGGCGACCATATTGTCGGGCACTCGATTGCCGACAATGTCCCTTTCCCGCGCTCGAGACAGGAGCATGATTCCATCCAGCGATGGGCAGCGCGACAATTGCACGTATAAACCGTAGGCATCGCATTGGCTGGGAACGGCCTGGCCATCGACGTTCGTCGTCCTCGCGCCGCGAAGTTCCAGTGCCACTCGGCCCAACGTCTTGCCTTGCACCTTGTAATCCGTGCAGGCGAATGCCGCTGCGCACGGTAATCCTCGTCGGCTGACGTCGTGCTTCTGCCATGGCCGCTTTCTCTGGCAGTCCATTTTCACGCTGACGGGCGTGAGGAGGATAGTGCCAGCCGGCATACCGACGAAGTCGTAATCTTTCGTCGTCTCGGACGCCAGCACGATCCCGGCCGGAGGCCCGAAGTGGAGGATAGTGTCGGTGTTGACGCGATGTCCGGGGAATTTCTGGTCGAGGACGACGTCTAGCGCCGTGTAGCAGGCGCCATTCACCAGCTTCAGGCCTTGGTGGGTGTTTTGGCTCACGACGATGGGCATCCCCGCGACGAACATGAAGATGGCTAAGACGGGAACGGCGCTGTCGTCCCCCTGACTCAACAGCATCAGGGCCTCCTCCTCCGTGGGCTGGCCATCTTTCCACTTGTGCTCGGACATGAAAATCCGGAGCAGGCCTTGCCTTTGGCGTTGGAAGCACAGCATGGCTTCAAGGTTCAGGTTCCAGCGGTTCCGATTCAGCGGCGTGACGACGGTGATGCCGGACTCCCATGGGATGCGTCGACCTTCCTCGTAGCACGTCTGGTTCAAGAAATCCATATCGGACCGATCTTGCACGCCGTGCCGGATCCGACTAAGGAGTCGCTGCAGTCGTGGGTCTCCGGCCGCACGAACTTGTTCGTCGAGCATCACGACCGTAGTGAACTTGTTCCAGAGCGCGTGCGCCTTATCGTGCTGGTGCCTCTGCTCGACTCGGAAGGATGTATCATCGGTCCACGCGGTGGCATGGCTGGAGAGAAGGATCGACCGCTCCTAGACCGGGCGGAACTGGTGGAAATCCCCGCAGAAGACGACTATCGGGATGCCGCCAAAGTCATCCGTACACCCTCGCAGCCGACACAGCTGTTCGTTCACCATATACAGCGTTCGCGCACCCAGCATGCTGACCTCGTCGATAATGAGTAGGAGTTTTTCCTGCCACTCGGCCCGGCTTCGTCCATCGACGCGGAGACTGGTTGACCTTCTCGGCGCGAATCTCTCTAGATCCGTACTCCCACTCACCGACCGACTTGTATCCTTCGAAAACCCGCACGCGGAATAGATGGTAACCCCATTGATATTGGCTGCCGCCGTTCCCGAGGTCGCTATGACCAGTAGACTGTGCGAGACCGCCTTCCTCCCGAACAATGCCGCGACGGCTCCGATGATCCGTGACTTTCCTGTTCCGCCCTCGCCTCCGATAAATTGGCAGAGCTAAGAAACTCCGGGTTCGTCACGGCGGATTCGATCTAGCTGGCGGCAGATCAGTCGAAGCGCGATGCTCTGTTTTCGGTTCAAGGTGAACGACTCCTCTGCTAACTGCTTCCCTGCCGCAGAGAACGACGTGGAGGGTCCGAGCTGGATATTCATGGATGGACCGACGTCCCAGCCCGGGCCTTCCTCATCGACAGCGGTGAAATGGACGTCCTGCTCCCCGAACCCGTTCGGCGCCCTAGACTCGTCATTGCCCTCCCCGACCGACCCTTAGATTCCTTAGATCATCCTCTCTCTCTCCCGAGAGAGGCTTTTTTGCTGCGCCTTAATCGATTTGAGCAGCTCCTGTGCCGGCACGGTCGACCCCGCTGACTCGGGAAACCCGCCTTCTCGGGTGCTGAGTGTTCCTGGCCCTTGCTCGAGGATGGCTGTAGCGCTCAGTTCGTCCATAGAACCTAAGGCGGTTTGCTGAAATCGGCTCATTTGCTCCACCATCCTCGAAATCTCGTTCGAGCCGGCCGTAACCTGAGGGGTCCCCATTGCGTTCCTTAGGACGTCAATGAGTCGTGTCGCGTTGCCGAGACTATCTGAGCGGTACGTCGTCCTTGGCCCGTCGTTGCCATCATCGCCTCTGTCTTCCAGATCAACCGCATCAGCGAATGGATCCGCCTCTCCGGACATCGCAGCCCACTGTTTGGCATCGCGCTTTGCATCTTCGGCCGATCGGTGTAGTAGTCGGATATTATCAGCAACGAAGGCCATCCGCCGAGGTAGGCCCTGCTTGCGACTCTCCCAGATGGCGTTGATATCGCCCGTCGTCTCGGCCAAAAAGGACTCCCACGTCACAAAAATGGCAAGATGCTGAACAGCGGCCCTGCGTATGCCAAAACGTCAACCTTCCTGAGCATCATCGTGTCTTGTCTCTCACACGAATACAGCGACAAGTCCGATCATGCCGAGAGTGGGGCTGCACATACCTCTTATAGTAGACCTCACTTTCTTCACTCAAGTCCCTGCTTAGATAACCGTCAAAACAGACCATCGCATGCTCGCCGGACTTTCGTAACACCTGTACCCACGACTCCGACGGAGACTAGGCATGGTCTAATGGGATCTCCTCCCACGTACCTACACCCTTGCTCTTTCGCTTCAACTTGACTACCGACAGATAATCATAAAGGTAAAGCTCTTGCAAGACTCGGCCACGATACGGATATGCTTGCACCAGAGATATTCTCACCCCCGCGTCGTGCAAGAACACCGTCTCCTTAACTCCCTTATCTCTAGAGTCTATGCCACTCTCGCGTTACAGATGCGGCCATCGGCGGAAAACATGCCAGTACAGGGAACTGACGTTAACGAACGACCAAGCATTATTACTGGTGAATTCCCTGGGGTAGCCCAGCAGATCAGAAACGACTTCCACCTGCGACAACGGCCGCTCCGTGAAGATCCGGTTCGCGATTCTCATCAGAAACTGCCGTGTCCGGTTCTTACCACCGTTGTCCGTTGTCGAACCATCCGTCGCATCTTCCTACCGTTCCGCCATCGCATCGTTATGAGCCGAGATTAGATTTGCCGTTGCGGCCACCCGTTTCCACACCGGATCCTCGACTTTGGTTGCATAATTCGTCAGATAAAACACGAGGGCCATGGTCTTGCACTGCGTTGCGATGAACGAAATGTCATGATTATGACGCAGCCCTACCGCGATTGCCTTGTTCCATCGATTCACCATACTATGCGTCCGCCGAATCTGCAACACTCCCTCCTCGGTAAACGCAGTCCTCTCTACTAATTTCCACGGGGCCTTGAACCGACACAGGTCCTGATTCTTCCGTGTCTGCCCGTTGATGGAATATTTCACACACGTCGGGCTATGGGTATGGATCTGCGTAGAACCGGCGCAGAAGTTGGCCTCGTCCTCAAACGCGGCGGCGAATTGCTCGCGGTTCGCTAGCAGTGGCGATATGTCCGACGTCACGGACCGTTCCGCCCGAACGGCTGAGAATGCCTCGTAATCGAGATCCTACACCGTTTAGCCTTGCGTTCGACTACCGTTACTGTATATAGTCACGATACGGCGATCATACCTCGGTGAATACGCTATCTACGTACTAGGCAACCCGCTCCCGGTATGCCTCCCGATCCCCTTCATCCTCGTCTTGCGGAATAGAACTCAGCTGCATGTTTCCCTGAAGCCAGAAGAGTCCGTAGACATGGAGCGACCCGCGCTCGTTGGTCTCCACGGCTCCGAAATATTCATTGATCCGCTCGAACACTGAGTCCTCTCCTATCTTCACGTAGTGCTTGAAGAACAGGGAAATCTCCCGGTAGAAGAAGATTGCCGAGCTAAGCGGGTCCGAGATCGCCAGCCGTGCTCGCTTGTACGCTAGATCTAGGCTCGTTAAGAAGGCTTCAGCCACCTCCGGATCCCGGGTCCGATACGCGGCAAGCCGGAGCTTGATCGGATTGGTAATGTCGTTCGGATTCAGCGTGAACCAGATGGCCGGAATACCGTACCGAATGATGAGGGACTGTATCTTGCGCCGCATACTCAAGCGACTCTCCCTCGACATCGGCTAGCGATATCCATATAGAGACAGGCTCTTCAACAGCTGATTGACGTCCTCGTCGCTCGTCGTCCGCGAGATCTCCAATTCGGCCTTGGCACGCTCCAGCCGCTCTGCGTTCAACGAACGTACGATGCGCTCGACTGCGGGGAAATCCTTCCTCGCGACACTCGCCATGCTGGCACGGCGATTCCTTGACCGGACGCCCACGTTGAAAACGAGAAAGGGAAAGATGTGGTGTGACGCGAATCGACCACCGTGACGCTGCAGGACCAGTTTCGCCCACGTCTCGAGGCTCATGTTCCGCGATGCAATGAGGCCCCGTACCTGGTCCGCCGCCTCGACGCCCACGTCTCCCTCTCCAGCGACATCCTGCGTGCCCTCATTTGCCTGACGTGGGCCTCCACGACCGAGAGGGAACAGCGTTGGGAACGTCTTTGCAAAAAACCGCGGATCGAACGGATCGGCAAAGTCCTCGCCCCGGTTCACCACGATATACGGCTCGGCACCGTTCCAACGCCGTACCTCTGCCGTCCCACCCCGCCGTTCATTACCCGAACCCTGTTGGCCTAGTGCGTCGTGAACATACTGTAACTTCTCCCCGTTCGCGATATCTGGTCCCCTATCTAGTGCGAACACGCCAGATGAACTGGTTTCATAAACGGGAACTGCAGCACCGTCAAGCACCCTGTCCCTACCCCCATCGGCAGCATCGCCCCGTTCGGGTTCTCCTGTCACATCCTGGCCCGGCTCGACATCGTGCCCCTTACCTAACGTGGCCAGGACTTCTCGAATATCTATCGCCTCTCCCTCATCCAGGCCGCGCTCTGTGGGTGGAACTAACTGCCCGGTGCGCGCCTTCTCTTGCGCCGACGGCTCATCTCGTCTCAACCGCTTATACACTCGAGATAGTACACCGTGCGAGGGCGCATCCCAGCTCTCTAATTCCGCCACGTCGATCTCGATGTGCGCATACAACGGATTGTGCCGCTTCAGCCACACTAGTGCCTTCTCTACCACCCGACGCCGAACCGACAGAAGGACCGACAGATCGCTTAGCACTGGCTTATCCGACCCCAGCCAGGACACATGAATCTCGTCTATCACCTTCAGGAGCGGATGCGGGAGGACGTTGGCCACCAGCTCCTGGACGTTGTTCGGAAAGACGGTGATGTGCCCCTTAACATGCCTCCCATACCTTATACCTTGCCTCGGACCATTAGGGATACTATACTGGGCGATGAAGCCGTAGCACGAATTCAGCGCGATAAGCTTCTCCTCGATCGGCGTTAGATCCTTCAATTCATCGGGGAACATGTGCTCGCATCCGAGTCGGTCGTGCAACTGTGCGGCTGGAGATAGACTGTCTTTCCCCAGGTGCTTCACACAGGAATCGCACCCGTAAATACTCTTCCCGATGGGGAAACACTTCACGCATTGGAAAGGCGAATCTTGACGCTTCTCAATAGGACTCGCCATCCACTGCTCCTATGCCACTTCCTGCAGCTCTATCCGACCGTACTTGCCATAACAAAGCATGCAAGTCAGTATCGGCAACGTGTTCACATCATGGAACGCTTTATAGAACTCCTGGACGGTATTAACCTTGGTCCTGGTTGGGATCCGCGCACACCACGCCCGATCATGAGAGAGCCGCTCTTTCTCGGCGAATTCGTTATCCAATCCACGCATAACACTGTCGAGCTCCCGCCTTTGCTCCTCTTTACTCCACTCCGGACGATCCGCTCTCCGGACGCGTTTAGACGGCGACTCGCGAGGAATGCCCGGCCCGGACCTCCTCCGCCCTAAATGTGATCGGTTCCTAACTACAGAAGGACTGGTCTCGCTCGGACCGTGTTCAGCGTCGCCAGCAACGTCGCTGGACGACGTCGCCATCGGCGTCCCAGTCCGCCGGGGGCGGGGACTCCTGTCTGCTCTGGCCCGTTCATTTTTTCTCTTAAACTCTTCAGCGATATCCGTAGACGTCCGAAGACCTAGACCCGCGAGCACCGATCCATCCTCGACCAGATTTCCACGTGCTCGACCCGGTCCAAACTCCGTCCGTATCGCGCCGAAGAGACCCGCAGGTGTCCGTAACTCGAAACCCGCCTGCGCCATGCGCTCGCGATACGACGCGCTACGACGATGGAACCGATCGGACGGACTCTCCGAGCCTTCACCGTGGCCCTCTATACCGAATTCGAATCAATTGAAAGACCGACTTGTCTGGATTCGCAACTCCTGTCACGATGCCCAGGTTATCCTCGAAATCCCGCACTATGAAATGAACGGAACTCGATCCCTTATCCCATCACCGATCTGCAGACTACCTACGTTACTAATCCCTCCCCCACTCTACCCCCGTTCAACTGCAGACACGATCACCCTTCAAGCCCTGGATCCCTTCACCTTGGATGCAACAAAACTTAGTCAACCAGCCTATCAATCTACGACTTCCAACTGTCCCCGACCATACCAGCCCGACCTCGTATTCTCATCTATCTTCTACGACTCCTCATTCGCGAAATCCGCTCCTCGGAACACGGCCCGTACATGACCTATCATCAACACGCCTTTCCGGCGCTCCGCGCTCTGTTGTGTAACCTGTCGCGCATAATCTATTCTAACATTACGTCATCTTCTCTTCCTTTTTCCTGCCCTTCCCTTTCTTTCCCTCTCTCCCCTCCTTATCAATTGGTGGATTAACCCATCTTTCCCTTTTGTTTCACTCATAACAGCAGTATAAGTAGGAACTCCGGCCCCATCTCGTGCTCCTCTTAACCACCATATCAATTAATTCCCACCTCGACACTCCGACCACTGGATCGCCCCTGATCTCCCTCCCCTAGACGCTGTTTGCCCAACATGTCTCGACTGTCCTCACTCTCGAATATTATTCACATTCGTGATTTTATTAACACCGTGACGGATGACCCGACTCGACATGGCTTATCTAACTACGTTGAGATCTAAACCGAGCTTAATATCTTCGACGAAGACGGCTTCTACTGTTCGGATATCATCGTCGAGCCTATTCGGGCGCGAATTCGTGCCTATCTGACCTAAGAGCAACGGGAATTGTTTATCCCTGACGCTTTCTTCTACGCGGACGGCCGCTTTCCCACCGCCCGGTCCGTAGACGACACTTTGGACATCAACGTCCAGGCACTCAGTTTGATGAGGTCTGTCCGCTCACCCTCCCGTCATGACTCGACTAAACCGATCCAGGCATCCGGGTGGCGTCACGAACTTCGACGAGTACCGCCAACGTTTGCCAGAATAATGGTGTCCAATGGTAACCGTCGTCGGTTCCGTATCGTCTCGTAACGACAACTCCTTGGATCCAACCCACGCTCGCCGCTTCATGATTGAAACTTCCGTATATGACGCCTCCAACGCCGCACCTGTTCCGTATTCCATGGCCTGCTTCTTGGAGGATTCTAAACGTTGGCAAAAGGTGAAGATCCCTCAAGCAGGAACGTTCCTCACCCTCACCGCAAAAGTCGTGGGTCGCACAACTGACACGAACCTTCTCGCCCTCCGAGTCCTGGATCTCGCCTACTTGCCAAAACTTGCGTCCGCCGCACCCACGACGACCCCGACCACTTCCTCACCGTCGAAACGACCAAATCGTTGGATTGCCCGACCCACTCCGTCGACACCGTCGAAGAAACCGCACCGTATGGGGCAGGTCGCTGGAATACCATCGCCATCGGACTCGAGCCTACATGAAATCTATCCACAGCACCCAGACCACATCACAGACTCGCAATCAACTCCTACTTCTCCCTCTACTACAGCGCACCCGGAAGGCTTCTCAAATATGTCGGTTCCACCATCGAACTCTAACAGCGGATCTCGGCCACATCGTAACCGTCATCCCCCTAAAAAATTTGAAGCACCTGACTAGCCAAAAACCATCCCTCACACAACACAGTAGCGATCACACGACAAGAATCAGAGGGATTTGGTTACAAACATAATGCGTGAATCCTTTTCTCTTTTATTACCTTTCGAACGATAGCTTCAGCCGCATGACATTGCAACACAATGACCACGTAATATGACTTTGCTTATTCCCAGAGTATCGTGCCTTGCACTAATTGGTCAACCAACGAATAAGGGAGGAGTAGTATATGGATGGTTAAGAGACATATGTATTACACGATCTTTTCATCAGTTTGTTTCTTTCCTTCTTCCCCCTTTCCTGTAGCTTGACTTTGCCGAGTTTCTAGAAATCGAGTCTATTTCTTTCCCAATCGTCTCATGATTGACCCAAACCTCTGACACATGTATCAAATTCAATTCTCTTCCTCCGCCAACATAATGCACCGGCACGCTCGCTCTCAATAATCAACACGACAACGGTGTCTATAAGAAGTTCCCTTAAGAGAACCATAAATTCTGCACTAACGATTGGAAGCACCATGACATGCTTCTTCACGCTCCTTCATTATAGGCTGTAGTGAACAAATAATAGATGAAGATACTCAGCATCTTCCTGTGCGACCCGTACCTTCCGTACGGAAGCCAACCCCAGAACACCAATGGAATTACAAACCTTTTGTGATGCTTCTGTGAATATAACTCGAGCATTTGTTTTTTTGATGAGATTCCAAACACAAACTCTAGCTTCGTTCCTCCAGGCTCTCTTTGAGCGACACCCGCTTGCGGGTTCGCATCTCTTGTTTGGATTGTCGACGAAGGTTGGGGTAGGAGGAGTACAAACCACGTGAAACTCACGTGAATATCATGTGATTTAAGGTCTAGTTAGAAGTTTGTTGTCTCCCCTCGTGCGACCAAAGACCTTACGGAACTTCGTTCCTCCAGGCACTCTCATTTGTTAAGTTTCTTAATAAGACACGTTTCGATCCAACAGAGGATGGTTGATATCCAACAGGAAAGAGTTCTGCCGCTGCGGCCACCCGTTTCCATACCGGATCCCCGACTTTGGTTGCATAGTTAGTTACGTAAAACACTAGGGCCATGGTCTTGCACTGCGTGGCAATGAACGAGATATCATGGTTATGTGTGACAGTCTTGGGCTTCGCCCAGTCTGTGTGTTGTGGCCTTGCGGCCTAAGGCAGAAGGGATGGGTAGACCGTTTGCCCACAGATGTAAATAGCAGATCGCAGTGAGAGAGATCTTCTCCTTATCTCTTTAGCAATTCAACAGCGTTACCAGCTTACCAAATCCTTCGTGGTTTGGGCCCATGACAATCAATGCGACAGCGAGGAATGTTTTTCCTGCGCGTATCTGCATAGTAATGGTCAAAATCTCGGGCCGATGCTTGGAGACCTTGCCCCAGACATTGACGAGCAGCTCCATAATCGGTATGATCTTAGTCTTCTGCTTTTCAACCTTTTTTTCAACCGCGATGTATTCGAATATATTGCCGAGTCAACCAATCAATATGCACATCTACATGGAGCGGGTCAACCTGGGCACCGCGCATGGCGAGATGTACAGCCTGGCCATATTATGGTTTGGATGGGCTTGTTCATCTATATGGGGACCTGGCGGCTTAGCTCTCGCGACGAGTTATGGAGTCGAACGGACACAATACCAAACCATTCAATCCCACGGTATATGTCCTTGAACACATGGCAGCAAATTAAGCGGTTTATTCGCGTCTTAAGACCGCAAACAGACCTGTCCCGGCCGCAGAGTGTTGTTGATAAAGTTCAACCTCTAGCCGATGACATTCAGAGCCGTTTTCAACAGTACTATCAGCCTTCAAACTATCTCTCGATTGATAAGATCATGGTTAAGTTTACCGGTCGCTTAAATGATATAATCAGTATCAAAGGCAAACCTATTCCGGTAGGGTATAAGATATACGCATTAGCCGATTCTGGCTATGTGTATTCTTATCTCTTTTGCCTGGGCGGCAGACATACCGCAGAGAACGCTATCGACATTACCAAAATCTATGGGTTGACCTATAACCCTCCAGAAGACACCCCATTGTCTCTAACATCTCGCGCGGTTGTTCAACTGGCCTTACCGCTCACAGAGAAACCTGGTCACTTTATTCTCTCTATAGATAACTTCTTCACTAATATTCGGCTACTGTCAGTTCTTCGGAGACTCGGTATCGGTGCATGCAGTACGACTAGGGGCAAATTCCAGTGAATATCCGCGGCAACATGCTATTATTTCGAAGAAAGGATGTACCTGGCCCTGGAACAAGCAGGAGATACTCTGCGTTCGAGATGTTGCGTCACTCCTCTGGAAGGACAGAGTACTCGTTCGCTTTCTACACACTGTTTTCCCATCGGAATCTAACGATGGGGTACATCGCCGGCGCCCCCGAGTCACTGGTGCCAGGGAGGCTCGCGAGGTTGCAGAGATATGGGGGGATGAACCAGAAGCAGAGATCCAACAGCCGCTTGCCTCGATCTATTATAATAGCTTTATGGGTGGTGTTGACATAGCAGACTAGAGGCGATCATACTACACATCGCACGTCCGCGGGTCAAAGGACTGGCAGCCTTTGCTCTATTTTCTTATTGACACCGCAATCACTAACGCATTCCTCATTGCCAAAGTCAAATGGACAAGATCGAGCCGCAAATGCGTGCTGAATCCTAAGGATTTTCGCAACGAGCTATCGTGGTGTCTTGTCGTCAAGGGGATCTCATTGATTCATGGGAATAACTGGGCCAAAGACTTCCAAGAAGGTGTATTACCGCATACCAAAGGCCGCAAGCACCAGCGAGGGTCTAGAGGTCCTTACGTAAATGACAACACCGTATTCCCGAACGCCGTTGTTATTACGCCAGGAATACACCGGATTGTCAAGCCAGAACGGTCGATTCGAACGGCTTGTTGGTTCTGCAAATGGCAAATACACCAGTCTTCAAAGCGGAGCTCCGAGGCAAACGTTCTGGCCAATGCACGGTATACGGTCCTAATTTTAACCTCTGCCGGCAGTGTTTTGAAGCATTTCATAACTGGCCTGTTGAGATGGCAGGTAAGTACATCTATTGTCTAGATTGCCAACTAATTAGCTACTTACCAGTAACTAGGCCTGGCTGAGTTCTCGCGGAATCGCATAGTGATAGCAGAGGTGCCTCCGAAGACCTGGCAGCGACGACAGCAGAATGGAGAATGATACTAGTATATACTAGGTTTAGCGGATTATAAATTAGGATTAACGTAGTCACAACGCTCTTAGTGTACGCCATTATGAAATTGACAGGGATCAAAATGTTGTAAAATCATGGTAAGGGATGGCATGCTTTCTCGCCATTCGTTTAGCCAATGACCTCGTCGCTTTGGACGGCAACTAATTTCCGATTGGCTTATCAAGCCGCATTTGTATCGAGTCAGGGACCGCAGAAACTGATGTTTGAGTCTTTGTCTTATAGGGGAACGCCAAGGCTGAAGCACCTTCCTTGTTGCGAAGTACTCAATGAAACAGCGGAATCCAAGGAGCGTTCATGTCTTTGCATTTGTTGGCATTGCTATGATATCCGTAGGATAGCTAAGTTGACGCTGCACAGGGCAAAGAGGTTAATAGCCGACCTTCAGATGAATCCATTGTGGTGGAGATGCAAGACAGTCTCCCCGGAGAACGACAGTACCTGTCTGACACCCCCTCAACACTCAGGTCGACGGTATGTACGATGACCCGGCATCTTGGGTCTAAGGATCTAGTGGCTCAAGGATTGCGGAACCGCTTCAGAACCCCCGAGAGATCGTGATAATGAAAATCATTGCGATCGTATACAAAACATGGCCACACAGGGGTTGGAACTACGCCCAAAGGCGCTAGGGTGGAACGAGCGTTCCGTCGCCTGGAATTTACTCATGGGTTCCTTACTTGATTCAAGCTAATCCTTGAAGCTTCTGCATGACATGGAAGAGATGGAACTTGGAACTTGGATTCAACCATGTGTTTTGGGCCATGAGGGGAAGCACGGAACTGGTGATGGCCGAAGTCTAGACAATATGGTGGCTTGCAATCTATTCCGTACAGGACCGCAGGACCCCCAGGACTGAACGGTCTGTAAGTGGATGCAACATTCTGCAGTATCAAGGCTTGGGTGGTTTGGCTGTGAATTGCGTCGAGTTTTGTTCTCCAGTTCATGCGCGATGCATTTTATCGAGTCTCTCCCCGATTGAATGATGAATATTCCCCGATTGTTCCTTTGACACCAATTCTTCAACATGTCGTTACTCCTCGGGGTCACGGCTGACCAGGTCGATCCAGCTCTGTTTAACGAGTCGATCACACCGAAAGCGATCGGCTCGGTGACTAGCTTCTTCGCTGTGTCACTGGTTGTGTATATTGCCCGAATCTATGCTCGATGGCACGCTTATAAGAGTCTTTGGTGGGATGATTTTGCGATGACGGTCGCCATGGTGAGTTCTTCGGATGATTCCAACGACGCTGCTAACATTTGAAGTTATTGTCGATAGCGGGTTGGGGAATCCTTATACAGACATATGTGGTCAATGAGGGGAAGCATTACTACTTCTTGACCATGGAACAACTGAAAGGGTCCCTAAAATGGGGGTTCATAACGATGCCGCTTTGGGTTTGGACGGTAGCGATGATCAAAGTGTCGATCCTTTTGATGCTGGCCCGAGTCAAACAAAGCAAAGCGTGGACCCGAGGGATGTGGGGATTGATCGTCTTCGTGGTTTCAGTGGCCATTGCACTTACCGTCGTTCAAGTCATTCAATGTCTGCCGGTGAAAGCCAATTGGGAGATCATGATGCCGCGGACACTGTGCTGGGATCCAAAATTGGTGCTCAAGGTCAATTATGGATTGACTTGTAAGTAGGATCCCTTTGCAATGATGAATGAAGTTGCTGACATCGACAGCGCTTTTCATCTCGACAGATTTCGCTTGCGCCTTGCTCCCTATCGCCTTCGTTCGAAAGATCCATCGTCCGTTCCGAGAAAAGGTGGTTATTTGCGTCCTCATGGCCTTGGGGCTTTTGGCTAGCGCGTGTGGTCTTGTGAGGCTGACGTTGCTCAAATCGATCTTGACTTCCGGGGATGCTATCTATGATGGTGCCAACCTCAGTATATGGGCGTATGTACTGCCACTCACGATGGCGATTCATGCTAACAGAGTCAGATATGCCGAGCTATATGTTGGAATGGTTGCTGCCTGTATACCGTGTTTGAAGGCAATGATGGAGAAGGCGTTCCATGCTCTCGGTGGACACCTGACAAATGCTGGTTCGAAAGATAATACATATACCCAGCAGTCCAGAGGCACCGACGTTTATGACGGAAGGGACTATAACTTGCGACCGATGCATAATTCACAGGCACAGAATGGGAAGTCAGCCGACATGAGCGTCAGTGACGATGATATTCCACTGGCACGTCGTTCCAATTCAGGACATCCATCATATTCAGGGGAGTCAATGCCGACCGAACCTCCGGGCATTAGGAAAGCGGTAGAATTTTCATGGGCTGAGAGTCGTGTTTAAGGCTTATTATATACGATCAACGAAGACTCGGGTCGCTGTCTAGGTTCATCTACAGCGATTTCAAGTCCCTTTGCCGATGACAAGCATTTCATGCGAGTTCGCCGTTTTCTGTATGCAATTTCCATTCGTCACCAGGATAAGCTGGCGTTGAATCCGTTCGAAGATATTCTCCCTTTGCGTCATCAGGACAAAGAACTCATCGGGGGTACATTCAGTGTGGGTCTGTCATGGGCCCAAACCACGAAGGATTTGGTAAGCTGGTAACGCTATTGAATTGCTAAAGAGAAAAGGAAAAGATCTCTCTCACGATCTACTATTTACATCTGTGAGCAAACGGTCTACCTATCCTTTCTGCCTTAGGCCGCAAGGCCACAATACACAGACTGGGCGAAGCCCAAGACTGTCACATTTAACGCGAAATCAAGCTCGAAAATATGCTACACAGCCAGAACAACCTAAAGAGCATTGGGATACACCTAAAATAGCCCGTGTACGCGGGGCTGTGGAGTTCAACATTGCATAGAATCGACTCCTGTTAAATTCTGGTGTGCTGCTAATTTTGCTCACCGCTGGGCGTAGGGTATGCTATGCTACTCTACGCGGGAACCACGGGGGAACCATAGGAGCTAGACCACCTAAGTACGACTAAGAAATGGGGGCTCGGTAGAGAGACCGGCGGATCCCGAAAAATAGAGATAACTTAAATATATAGGAGAAGACTGAAGAGTCCTGATTAGGCCTAGCCCAGGGGTAGGGGGCAATAAAAGGAATGTTAGGTGGCAGTAAAAACCAACAGGGGCACCTTGCGACAGCTGGCTCACCCCGTTTGAGAACGTGGCGCGATGGATTTTGTTCTGTTGGAATGGCTTTGTGATGGATCAGAGGTCTGCAGACCTGGATGCCTTGTGGCCTTGTGGCCCGTTCGATTTGCTCTGCAGCATCAGGACATAACGCCTGGCACACTTTAGATAGATTCCTCCTTCATAGCAACAATTCAATGTTTGCCTCACGATTGGAGATTCCCTACAGTGAGACCCTTACAGGCTTCATAGCTTGGAGGTGCCAAATGCCAACACCCATCCACACCTGCAGCTCATGGAATAGATGGACAAACGCCTTGAATTGGCTAGTAACAGTCGGAACTAGAGCACCCGTCACTGACCACAGCAGCTAATATAACGCCCTAGGTCTTTACTACTTTTCTGATGCTAAGCGGAACAAGTGAGCCCTGCAAAACAAATGTAGACGTACGATTCTAAACATGAAGGAGCCCAAGGATTGGGAGTTTGGCACATCCCCAACCTGGTGGAAGTTCAAACACTTTCGGTCAAGATAACGCGAATTCCTCTCGACCATGGAACCACAGCAGCCACAAAGCTATCGTGATGCACTTGCACATCCTCTAATGTTGTCCGATAGAGCTCCATCTCGAACCTCCTAACGATGACTGCGGTAGCAAGCACGATCTCCGCAGTGGCGAGGCTAGTTCGAAGTTACGTCAGTTTCGTCATTATATTAATGGGAAAGTAGAGTCACGTACTGCATTCCAAGGCATTGTTGGTTTCCCTTGCCCCAGCTCACCATGTATCTCTCGAGATTCGACCTCTGCGCTGCTGTGCCCATCCACCGTTCTGGGACGAATTTCTCCGGCTCTGGGAAGATTTCTGGGTCGGAGAGAACGAAGTACGCAGATTCTGATACGGGGGTCTTTCACGGGCTTAGTCGATACCACAAGAGCTAGGGGCTATGAACTTACATTCGGTGGGATTTCCCAGCCTTTGTACTTTACCGGTTGGTTGGATACACGAGATTGCCGACTAGTCAAACCATGGGAGAGCCTCAACCCTTCACGCATGCAGCCGTACTATATACTGTTACCATGACATCCTTAAATCTCAAAAGTTGAAAGCTAAACCTTACCAGGTACGGAATTTTCTCTAACTCGATCCAGGGGGGTACATTGTTCGGATCCGGCATCACCTCCATCAGGGCAGCCTTGAGCTTAGCGTACATTTCCTTATCCTTCAAAAGATAAAAGAAAATGAACGATAAAGCTCTGGCCGTTGTGTCCGTGCCCGCTATAATCAACACACTGCCCTCTGCGGTCAGTCGATTTAAAGTCTTATGCTCTGGTAGAAGGTCGCTGTTGATTAACGCATCGAAGACGGTTCTGTCACTCTTACTCTCCTTTTTAACTTTCCCTTCCATAATTTTGATGATCTCCTTTCGAATAGCGAGCTTGGAATCCAAATACATCGCGAAAGCCGGACTAACCAAGGCAGCGGCCCATCGAGGCAACTCTTGCAGGTACATAGGTAACATTGGGAAGAGTCTAATAATCCCCACTGCCTCCAAGCCTTCGGTCTGCGAGTCCTTACTTTCGGGATTGAAATGGGCATGATCGAGGTGCTTCCAGTCCTTCGCGAACGAATAATCGCAGACGACGTCCTGAGTGAGCGCAAAAAAGGCGACATCCAGTCGTACGACGCCTCCTGGGTCGGGCTTGGGTTCGCGGGTCCGAATCTCCTTACCACCTATCCATCCCTCCTCGCGACCTAAGATTCTCCGTTCCTCCGCTCGGGCTTTCACCAGCGCCGTATCACCTTCCCCAACGAACCCTGTTAGTCGAGTAGTAAGCTTCGAGACCTTCTCCTGCAGAACTGGCTCTAGCTTAGAAACGGTGCTTCGAGAAAAGAATGGGTTCAGGGGTGTTCGGCGCTCTTTATGGGTCTTCGAGTCCGAAGCCGCGAACACGCTCTCTGGGGTTCCGAACATGGTACTCAATCGAGCCCATCTATCGGCCTTCCTCCCCTTAGGAGCATACAGGGTCTCATAGAAATGCGAGTCCTTGATGTGGATCTCGTCTGCGTTGATCCGAATAATGGGACCTAAGTCATAAGCCAAGTTGCCACAAGAATCATCGCTCAAGCCTTTCTGGAGCATACCATATTTCCTATGCCATTTCTCAATCTCCCACATCATCATGCCAGGTCTTACAACGTCATGGTAGAATGTATACCACGCCGTTATCACCGGCAGCTTGGGTCCCGGGAACTTCGCGAGTGGGTGGAAATAGAGGAGGTATACTGCGTTGAATACCCAGTATATAGCATATATCACCAGTACCGCGCCCGTGATCGAGGTGCGGTCGTTCCAATCGATTTCTAGTGTCGGCATCACGAATCAAGCGTCACTGTATACCACAAGAGAGCAAGGGAACGAAATCTTATGCGATCATGATATGTCGGGGGCTTTAAGGTTTAATACTGCCTAGAAGAGGGGTACAGCCCCACTAATGCATCTCAGTAACAGCCTGAGCGGCTGTGACACGCCTTTGATGTTCATGACTCGTCAATTATATATCTCCAACCCGACCCGCTGCGAGCGTCCCGAGCCGTCGGGAACTATTCCCCGCTCTACATGCGCGCTTGCTGCGCTACTAAAGCATATTACGGAGTGTAGACCAACTCCTTAGAACCAAATTTCCTTTCTGTGTGTAATCTGTACTACTATGAATGTATCGTCATTCGTGGGTTGTATCAGCAAATCCCTGCATCTTGTGCTTGATTGCGTATCGGAACCATCTAAGACTTCCGGATTTAACACCTTTTACATAAGCTATCGAGTGGCATTAATAACGCCAATGCAGGAGAATATATCTTGCGATTACATTAATGGTTAACTAGTTGGAATTCGATTACGCTGCAGCTCGCCCATACCGGCCAGATAGCAGAAGTTAGTCGAATGAACAGAGTGTCGTCGCTATAGTAGGTCCTAGAGCTCCGAAATGAATAAATGAATACGAATATGGCCCTTATTCATATTCGCTCTTCATGTCATGGGCCCAAACCACGAAGGATTTGGTAAGCTGGTAACGCTGTTGAATTGCTAAAGAGAGAAGGAGAAGATCTCTCTCACTGCGATCTGCTATTTACATCTGTGGGCAAACGGTCTACCTATCCCTTCTGCCTTAGGTCGCAAGGCCACAACACACAGACTGGGCGAAGCCCAAGACTGTCACACTTCACGAATATGAATAATATGAATATTATTCATATGAATATGCCCAATATTCATATTCATATTCGTATTCATATT